TGTCACTAATATCAGATATAAAATGTATATGACATAAATTTCAACCGTATATACCAGTATGGCAATTGTATCGCGTAATCGTTCCTTATCGGTGATGCGACTGATTTATCTGTTTATCCTGCACGATTATTGCGATGCAACAGATAACCTCACGATGGCCGTTACATTACCGATTAATGTACGAAGACAAATGAGATTTGAGTTTTGGGTACGAAAAGGGCAAAATTTGAATATCGTATCCCTGACTCCGTACGAGAGTGTCAAGACGCACGATGACTGATAATAAGTCGCATGGCAACGAGCATTAAGTAATACTCAGGGAAAACGTGCCAGACGATATAGAATTTCCCGTGATATTCAAAGTGCCGTCTCAAGCACTAATGTATAAATTAATATATTTCTAGATCATTATCACACACTGTTGTACCATGCTATACAGAGAAATTTGAATTTCACCCTAATATCACATGTAATGGTTACGACGTACTGTTAACATGTACAATCAGATAGACAGGCACGTGGGTGGTTACGCCTATGAATATGCATGATTAATGATTATCTAAGGATAGTCTCGACAGCGCAGATAGTTGATTTAAAAAATCATAATTACCCAATAAAAAAAAAAAAATAGTAAAACAACAAGACCCGCGCGAAAGGTCATGAAACGTATTTTCGATTGTATCGTCATTACATAGGAAACGATAATTCGCGTTCAATACCGATCATCAGAGACGTATGATGATCTCGTAAATTCTGACAGTACGTCAAGATGCCGATCATTAGCCACATACTTCGACGTTCATCCCGATATAGGAAGGCTGCAATTTCGCAAGGTCATCCCGAGCTCGAATCGGAATGCGGATCCATAATAAAGATCGACAGTGAGTAATTCTCGATCGCGGTAACTGTGCTTCGTATGATCGATCTGTCAGTGTCGCGATTCCTCGGGAATTATCGATAACGTAGTTTTCTTTTTTATCAATTTACAATCAATAGCGCTCATTCGTATTTCGAGAAGCAGACACTCTGTTGGTGAAATAATTAATCGCTTGCGCGGGTTTCTTAAAGGATTGATAATTAAGTCTGAAAAAAAAATCATCCGTCAAGATTTATTTATCTCAATGTCGAAGACAGACGCAAATACCGACGCGGTACAGTCTTCAAAGATATTTTATATACGTGACTACTGGAGGCACTGTGTTTTTTTAAAACGATAGCTAGGAACACTCTGTGGCTTCTGGCTAAATTTGATACGTCGCAAAATCAACATGTTATCGTTTCGCGAATTCGTTTCGCCGATGCTAAAAATAGGCAGACTCGATTCGAATGAGTTAGTTTTCTTCGTTACGTTTTTCATGTCTCATTCAAATATTCGCAATGCGCTGATTTCAATTTTTGCGTTTGACAGTGACGCTTAACGAGTCGGAGATCAAATTTCTTGGTAAGGTCAAAACGCAAATCGACCATTTGCCAGGTCATTGGGATTCGTATAATGAACTATATTCAAATGGAAGAAAAATTCTATATTCATATATTCATTCCCCCTCTAACAAGAAACCCTTTAGCGGCGTTGTTTCCGTAAAAGGGGAACAAAAAGTAGACACCGCTTACATCACGTTTTCACGCAGAAGCATACATACCCACGTACGTATTCACGGGGCAGTCAGTAGGAAAGAGCGAAAGAACCATAGGGAGGGTGTTTCTCCAATCGTTTCAACCCTCGTCCCTATATCGTTAACGATGTAATCGTACCTTAAGGTTACAAAAAGGAGGTCGTGAAAATCCGCCTATATTTTCTTTTAATCTTTATAAAGTCTTTTATTCATCCCCAACCACCCCCTTACGTTTATTCCTGAAACGTCTTCGGCCACCAAGAAGACTTATACAACGGGTTCAATGTAAATACCTATTATTTTCCCTCCGACGAGGAGTAAGTGCGCCTATGTTTTTCTTTGTGACCCTGTCCCCCATTATAATACTAGTGAACTTTCTAGGGTCCCTACATAATTTGCACCTTCCACGTGTCTGGCGTCTCTGGAATTAGTGACACGTGGAAAGTGTCGAGAGTTTGCCAACGAGGCGTTCCCTTCCCCCTCTTCCACCACCATGCCACGTAAGACCCACAGAGGGATGGAACGGGGCACGAATAGATACATAGAGGACAGTAAATTGCTAGCTATGGTGGCGAGGGTGTTTTATTATGCGAGCCTAGACGTAATTTTGTACGTAGCCAAGGTGATGGATGGCGAAGGATCGCTTGTGAAAATGATGTTTTAAGAGGTACAGAGGTATCCACTGTAAACCGACGGCTGAGGCACGAACGTAAGAATGACGGGCAATGGATTCGTAGTTAATTGAATGGACAAGCCAGTAGGTGATGATGTATATTTTAATATCTATTTTATCACCGAGAAAGGGTAAATCCTGAATATTGTCGTTACGAAGAAAAAATATTGCAGTGAATGTGACTTGTAAAATTATTTTTTAACTCTAAATACAAGTTTGTAGACTTGTAATTTTTTAAATGGTATCGCCTTAGCCACTGCTAGCGATCTTTAATGAATCTGCGTTTTTTGTATCGTGTCATTTTCGCTTTTAATAAAAATCGTGTTATTATGGATTTTTAGTAGCAAGAAATTTTTATTCATCAAACTTATGTCATTAGTTTTTGTATTTATAGTTAGTGTTAATGTTAATGTTATTCGCCAATGATTTATTCTGTCCCTGAGGTTTTTGTGCAGCATTGTATTGTTATGTTAGACGTGTGTATATGTATACAATATCAGGAAAGTTTTTCAAGAAAAACTAAAACGATAAAGAATTTTATTACAACGCGCGGGTGGAATGTACCAAGTCCATTCTGTGTTCTAAAAAGGACTCAAAAGGATACGCGCCCTGAGATATTTCTCTTTGACGCGAGATCCTTAAATTCCTGATGTGTCCGAGGTTGGTTGGCCAGGAACTTCGTTATAGGATCCCACGGTACTCGGCCATTTTCCCATGGATTTCGTGCAACCGGTTCAGAAAACGCAGAAGGCGCCTTTAACACGTGAATGGGACTGTATGCTCGGGCATTCACCTTGTGCGATTCGGGTATTCGATTTTTTTTTACTACTCCCCTACCCCCACTTCCATTGCCTCGTCTCGCAGTGTCTCCCTTTTTTTATTCTTGATTTTGTTGCCAGTGTGAAGGTTTCACTGGTGTGCATCTACCTTTTTTTTCTTTTCTTTTTCTTTCTGTATGTGGGAACACTTTCCGCAGGTACTACCCACGTTCCCACGTGAGCGATTAATCTTTCGAACTGTATTTTCCACAATCGACCTGCGTCTCATACGTGATGCATCCTTTGAGACAATGAATTGTGAAAGTTTTATTTAGAGTGTAATTCACAATGTGAATAAAAGTTTAATTTAAATTTGTGCTGTACGATGTATAAAAATCTTATATTCGTTGAAAACGCGGATTTTGAATTCAACGAATGACAATGCGATTGTGGGAAATTCAGTTCTAGTTGAAAGTTCTACTATTTTAATGAGTTTCATTAGCTCGAGCGTGAACTTGTTGCTGCAATAATAAAGGCATGTTTTTTTTTTTTTTTTTTTTTTTTTTTTTTTTTTTTTTTTTTTTTTTTCTAGTTGAAAGTTCTACTATTTTAATGAGTTTCATTAGCTCGAGCGTGAACTTGTTGCTGCAATAATAAAGGCATTTTTTTTTTTTTTTTTTTTTTTTGATAAAATTACATAAATACCTTCCCGTATCTACGTGACATACGTACTACGTTATTCACTCGTATATAAATTCCCTATCTTATCCGTTCTATTATCTTTGCTATCCTTATCATAATACTGAAGATATATTAGTGACAAGCTACAGGAGGCAACTTATATTCTTTACAAACTTTCGCACGCGCGCGCCAGGACGGTCAGTAAATTTGAACATAGAGAAATGCAAAGGAAGAAATATAGATAGCGAAGTACCTCTTAAAATTTCTCTGAAATGTTCAAAGAAGCAGAGTAGAGTAAGAACAGGAAAAGGGAAACTGAATAAAATATATATAATATACACTTGTAACGAAAGGTGTAAATGCACTCAAGGTATCAAAGAAAAAACTAGCAATTTAGAGTACATGATTCTTCACTCCATTCGCAATGCGACTTCCAGTACTCGTTATTCTCCCCGAGCATAATAATAATTGAAAAAGCTTTCGTTAGGACAATTCCTGTGATAGAATTCATGCAAGCTAATGATACGCAAGGAAAGAAGAATCTCGTGGTGGCCGGTCACGGCAGTATTCCTGGAATTTTTGACAGAACATTCCTCGGAGCTGACGTGCATAGGAGTATTGCGAAAATAGGTGAACGTCTTATCCTGTCTTAGAAGAATTGTTAATTAATTCCTGTAGAAGATGCACCAGGTTTCATACACAATGAAACCGCGCGGTGCCTCCGCTACGTGGGAATGTGAATCGCGTGTGGCTTAAAATGTTATATCGTAAAATCGGAACAGCGCCGATCTCACCTAATGTTTCCTGGCGTCGTGGCTCCACACCCTCTTCAATTCTCCTGTAACTGTCACTCGCGAACTCCACCAGACACACGAGATTTGAACACCGGCACCAATTCACCTACGATTAGTCTTTACTTTCGCGGAAAACGTGAAATATACAGTTGAACGAGTCGACAGAAAGGTATTCCGACCGTGATTACTGTACAAATGCTTGTGATACGTCATGTCCTGAAGAGCTAGCGCCGTGGTGTGAATATCGTAATCTAGGGGAAAGTCTAGGGACCCTGTGTTAAGCCTCATTCATAGAATGTGGAACATTAAAGCTATGTTTCTATCCTTGCACGATGATGAAGCTCTCAGTGTTTGCATTGGAATTTCGTATATAGAATCTGATAATTTTATTGTTTGACGTAATTTATTCTTGTGTGTGTAATTTAGTGACTTCTCTAACAGCAAACATGTTGGGAGTTTTTCTATATTAATTTTGTGATTATATACATTTTGTGTATAGTTTACCGACGTGGTTCTTTAAATGCTTTGTGTAGAGGCGCTAGTTTATGTACTTAAATTCACAGCTGACGTTTCTCGAGGCTTTTCAATACTTTACGGCTTATCATCTGTGACGGTGACAAGGATACTTGATACTTGAAACGTAGGTTTGTTTATTGGCTAGAATTGTTGCAGTTTATAGAGATTTTACACATATTCTTGAGTATTGCATACTTTCAGCAAGTTTCGATACCAACGTTTCCTCGTATATATATTTTTATGGAATTTAACATCGATTAATATTGCAACCTTGAACTGTGAAATACTTTGGAAAACTTGAAATTATTATATGTATTATTATGTATACAAGTGTCATGTCAAGTTAATCGACATCAGATACTTTACAATAAGATTATTTAGACTTATTAAGCTGGTTGCAGACTTAGAAAAAATATAGTTTATTAAATTGATTGCTTTAGTGTCATTTTTTAAATTTTTCAATAGTATAGTCAGTTTTGTTATATTTATGATTGTTGATCTGGAGTAATACTATAGTCTTAATTACGTATTTAAAGAAGTTAGATAGGTTTATACGCATAATGGCATTTTTGAAGAGAATTTAATGCTGTCTTTTAGGAGAAAATACATTCAAGATGACTGATGATAATAGTGGAGACTCAAAGGAGGATAAGTCTCAAGAAAATAATACGACAGCCCCATTGAATCATCCCTGCACCGTGGAGGAACGAGCAGAATATTTTAAAAAATTGGAAAAATGGCTGCAAGAAGCATATGCATGGCAAAGCGTAGTTGCAATGTTTCCATACTACGTGATGTCTAGTCAGTTATTGAATCGCACTCCTGGTACGAATAAGAATAAAAATTGTAATATTTTGAATGTAATCCATATGCAGTAGTAGTAAATGTTTCCAAAATGTTCAATATACTGTCCTGCATTAAAAACAATATTTATGTGAATGTTAATGTGACAATTTCATTTTCACGCTTACTAACCATCAAGACTTTTGTTTCTTGGGATATCCTATGTCATCCTACTACTACAGCTTTTGTACTTATATCTGTTGCATGATTTAGTTCTGTTCTCCATTTGTGATTCTCTGTATCATGAATCTTTTATGTTATATGTTACCTTATATATTACAGCATTGTATTTATACATTTGATAATTTTAATTTGCTAAATATAAATATGAAATCTTTGTAACAAACATGAGTACATTCGTTATCATATCATCAACTAATCGTACTTATGCTTTCAAAAAACATTGGTTGTGTATCCAAAACATTATTATGCATCGTCTAGTCTAATGCTTTATCATTCATTCATTGACCAAATTTTATTTACAAACTGCCTATATTTTCATCTGTGGGTTTGCTTCTGTTCGCTTTGTGGAGTCGTTTACTGAAAATTATTCTATATAATAGAATGGTTCCAGGTGTTACTCCGTTTCCTCCACAAGTACCCCCAAATGCAGGAGCTGCAACGGCCACAAACAATGATCCAAATAACGTTAACGCGACTAATCGACAAAATAACGTTCCTTTACGCCAAGGTGGACAACAAGAACCCCGAGGACCATTCCGACCACCCGGAGTTGAAGGTAGAAGATCGTAACAACAACTTCTGTGTGCATTAATTAATGGAAAAATTGATTCTGTTTTATACGTGGCTTACAAATCTAAAATACTGGACTTCGCACAGTAATCTCTTTTGAATTTGAAATTGGTATTTGAAAAAGTAATTATAAATTCTTTCTCTTCTCAAAAGGCATTGTACAGAAATGCAGTATTTAGAGTTTCCAATTCTGATGATAATGATTCTAAAATAACATAAAATAACTTTTATCATAAAACTAAAAAAATGTTTCTTTATAGGTTTTGAATATCGCATACCACCAATATGGAAAAGATTTGTGGCTGAGTTCATTGATTCTATGGTGCTATTTATTGCAAAATTCTTAATGAGTCTGTTCAATGAATTTTATGAATTGTAAGTTGGCATTTTTAACAAAAAAAAACAGAAATGCTTCAATATTTGTATGAACAACATACGTAACACTTGTGTAACAAAGTTATCCTCTTTTCAGAAGCATAGAGCAATACGATTTAGATCAGTTCCAAAAAAATCTACGATTCGATTATATCATGGCTCTGGAGATGACCTCTGAACTTCTTATACTAGAATTAATTCATCGAATAATGGTTTGCATTTTCGAAGTAAGCATTGAGACTACCATATTAATTTTAAATATAACTATACCAAATCTGCTAATTATATTTATTCTATTATTAGACATTTTTTCTGTATCGTGGCCTCAATGGACGTATTGGAGGTGCCACACCAGGAAAACTAGTTATGGGTTTACGAGTTGTTCAGTGTCGCAGCATAACACCTATTGAACGACCAGATGGGTCAGATGTGGTTTTAGTATCACCCGGTACAGATTTGGGTTTACCACTTGCAATTGGTCGTTCGGTGGTCAAGAATTTAATTATAGCACTGTTATTTCCCATATGCTTTGCACTGTTCTTTTTTAGATTTAATAGGACTGGATACGATCTTGTGTGTAATTCGATCGTAGTTGAAGATCCTTACAGAATCCCGAATAATAATAGACCTCATCAACAATAATAATCAACGGATAATGTAAAGAGATGACTATACTATAGAACACGCACATATTATGTACATAAATGTGTAAAATAAAGTACATATAATTCACAAAGTACAGACAGTCATATCAGGCATAAAAGTATGTGGATATACACTGAAAATAAAAGCTACCGGTTCATATAATTTTTGGATTATAAATTATGATTAGATAATGAGAAAGATTGTATTTTTAGGATAGTAAATATGTAACACTGGATTATGTATTATTCCATATGGTAATTTAATAGTATTTATCGCGAGTATACTTGGGGTAAGAAGAGGGTAAATTTAACGATTAAAAATGGCTCGTTTAGTCACAAATTTTTTTCAATATGCAGAATATGTATTTATACAAATAAAGTTCGAGCTATTTATGTAATTGTCATTTTTCACTCTCTATTTATTGCTACTATTTTATAAAATAGTAAATATTTTTTTCCCGTATACCGGCATACTATATAAAGTAATGTGAAGATTTTATTATTTTATAACGTCATACCTTTTTATATTAAAATAACCGGACCAACCGTGTCCTTATTTAGTTGAATTTGAATTGAGCAACGCTATCTGGGGGCAATTTTTGAGAAAGTTGTTCAGGATCATGTATTGGCCAATGACGTCACTTCCCAGTCAAACGTGGCTGCCGTGACTGAAAGGAAGGAGTGGCTGTGTGACCTGTCAAGTTGTACAGTTTTTCGTGAAAATTAATGACTTTTTCCGTCAGTTGAGCCGTCTTCGTGTGGTTTTTAACAGCTGCGAGTCGTGTCGCGTATCTGACACTCTAACGAAATGTCGTCGTCGGGTGATTTCGGGAACCCGTTGCGGAAATTCAAGCTGGTCTTTCTTGGCGAACAGAGTGGTAAGTATTTTCAGAGTAGACTTCCGTCAATTAACGATCAATATTGCTAATAATCTCTTTGAGGTCTTAAACGATTAGTGGCTAATTTTTCGTAACGATATTCAGCCAGCTCTTAGTACGCATGAATTTTAAAAAACGTTCTAGGTTATAAATCGATATTTCGTCAAGCTGTTCCTACCCCGGCTGTTCGGTTCTCGACACTGGATTAGCGTCGGCGTTTGTCAATTTTTTCCACTATTTCGACGACCCTTAAAATTTCGTAGATTCCTCATTGAAAAAAAATGATAATTATATTTGATTTTTGTATATCGTTGAGTACTGATATTTTTATGCAATTAATATACCTTACGAAATTCGTATGGCTTACGTCTGACTTTTGTGTCAATTTTGATTCTTATTCTTCAGCCGGGGATTTTAGCGATTTTAATTGTTAATAGGGTTTTAATTAATTTTTAAATACTGTAGAGTACTGTTGGGTTACCTTGCTAATTTTTCTTTGTAATAACTCTTCATTAAATATTTCATTAAATTCAATTGACATTTATGGTATTTCTTGTAATTAGTATTGTGTATGTGATATATATATCATTTGTATGTGATATTCTGTAATGTCAAATACTTGATTACCATTTGCATATTATTTAATTTCATTCTGTTAATTATTATCTATCTTTCTTCCATAGTATGTTTTATCTTTTGTGTTATATCTATCGTGTGTTATGGACCATAAAAGATATAAGGGTATACAATTTTTATTTGTATTATTTTATGCTTCTGATTCCTATTATTTATCGAGGAGAGATATATTGGATGTTTTATCAACAACACTATTTAGGAGAATGCGTGGCAATAAATTATTATAATGTACTAATTCGTTTACCATTAACTGAAAATTTATCTAATTTTTTTTTTAAATTGCAGCTTTAAATGCATTAATTTTGTTCTTTTCTAATAAATACTTTTTGCTATTACAGTTGGAAAAACTTCTCTCATCACACGGTTTATGTATGACAGCTTTGACAACACATACCAGGTATGAAATAAATTTTTTAGCATGTCACAAGATAACACATTTACCTAAAAGCTACAAAGTCAGCATTGATTGCCATTTCATTTTTAAAATATTTTGCAGTTACACAGAATTTGTTGGAGGAGAAATCATAATGCAAAATGTCATTATGAATGATTATTGCAAAAAAATTATTATTTAACTCAAACAGGTCATGTTATTGATGCAGAACGTTACATAATCCCGTTATCTTCTGAAACTAGTTTCCCTAAAAATATTAAAGATAGATAACATGCTTGGACATTTATGTATCTTGTTATTTGCATCGTATTGAATCTTATTATCATCATCCTATAATGTTCACGTGCATGACGAGTTCCCGTTATCCAACGTGCTATGTGGAGTAGTTTATTCATTGATAATAAGCCTTGGGATAAGAAGTGCATGCTTTAATGTATACATAGTGCATATTGGCATGCACTTTGATGTTGCTATAAACTATTCGCTATTGGCTCGAACGATTTGCAACAATGTGAAATTAACCACTCAGCAGTTACTGATAACTTGTAGTGCAGTGAAATAATTATATCCAATTGTAAATTCTGAACGTAAGTGTGTTGAAGTATATGAACAAAGTAAAACATCTTTTTATATTTACCTACCACTTGACCCAATCCAAAGCATAACTATATAGATTCTGTCTCATCGACACTTTAAAGAATATTTCTTAAAATTTTTAAATTAAATATCACATTTAAATATTACAAATATTATATAATATTTGTTGCCCACGAATGCATGTATTTACAAGTTAATTTAGATTACATTGTAACTCTTCCAGCTATAGAACAATACTTGAATTAAGTTGGGGTATAATTTAATACAGCAAGTGAGCAGCTATTGTTATAATGTGAGACAAAGCAAGATATCGACATTTTCTATTAAGAAGAACTTTCTAATTGTACTAATGGGAGTCCATAGGAAAAATAATGAATTAGTAAATAAAGGCCGCACGTTTCCACTTAAGATAGACTAAAGCAGAAAACTCATTTCATTATCCAACTTAATTCTAATTTCACCACTACTCATAGCCATAGTAGGTGTAACAATGGTAATAGCAGCGTTACTATATTAACCAGGTTGCATCAATCTACAACTGCTTAAGTTCTTATGGTATAATTTCTCTTCCTGGTCTGTTGCAGGCTACAATAGGCATAGACTTCTTAAGCAAGACCATGTATCTTGAAGATAGAACCGTGAGATTACAACTGTGGGACACTGCGGGACAGGAACGATTCCGTTCCTTGATTCCTAGCTATATCAGAGATTCGACTGTTGCTGTTGTGGTGTATGACATTACCAGTGAGTGTACACTTTCAGATTAGAACAAATAAATTCACAGAAAACAGACAGGAATGGACCTGGATATTTATATAAATATATTCTTTATTTGTTAGATGCCAACTCTTTTCATCAAACATCAAAATGGATCGATGACGTCCGAACGGAGAGGGGCAGCGATGTAATAATCATGCTCGTTGGTAACAAGACGGATTTAAGTGATAAAAGACAAGTCTCCACTGAAGAAGGTGAACGAAAGGCCAAGGAGCTTAATGTGATGTTTATTGAGACTAGCGCTAAGGCTGGATATAATGTTAAACAGGTATACAACTTATAATGTTTAATTATACTTGATTAGCATGTAGGTTTTCTTGTAGTCAATAGAGAGCAGAATTTCATGTTTTCTTATCATTCTGCAATTCTGTGTCTTATTACTTACACAAATTCAGGGATATGTATAATCGATGAGATCATCAGAATGTCGCATTTATGTTGCAATGCGCTTTCCTGTTTTACAGCTGTTTAGAAGGGTAGCTGCGGCTTTACCAGGCATGGACTCCACTGAGAACAAACCCCCAGAAGACAGTATCCTTTTAGTAAAATATTTAATACAGGCTTGCATGTTACTTTCAGCAGGGCGAATAGCAAATTTTTTTTCACTTGCCTTGACATGACAACCCTTATACGTGTCTCTTCCATATTTTTCTCGCATCCGCTTTTACATTGTTTTTCTTTACACTGTTTGCGCACGTCTGTTACATCCTACGAATCGGCACAGACTCAATCGTAGTTGACGTGATGATTATAAACTGACGTTATCAACTGCGCGCGGGCGTACATTTAAATTTAATGAAACTCACAACAGTGACTCTTGACTTCCTATCTTCATTACAGAAACAACAAGTAGCCTTAGACACATTTAACACGAGTTTTACACGTTTACTTTTCTCTACGCTCATTTTAATGTTTTTCACATTCTTTTGTTCCCATTTACTTTGTCTTTTTTGTGTTTTCCTTAATGCGTTTTCTTCAACCTGTAGTGCAAGAGATAGTTCTCAAGGATACGCCAATCGAACTGAAGGCGTCGGAGAGCAGTTGTGCATGTTAAATCAACAATGATCCTAACGGTAGACGAGACACTCTCAATTAAATTAAAACAAAATGAAATAATGAGTCGGAGACATTAAGTCGACAATGCATAGGGCTACGTTCCTTTTCACAGTATAACTTATTTGAGGATTGCGAAGAGCAAAGGTACTAGAAAAAAAAAAGAAATTATATCTGAGCTATTTTATTACGTGCTGATTAGTGATCTTTTCGTCTGGTAGCTTAATTAATACGACTGCATTTACTCAATTATCTCGCGCGCGATGTGCTGCTCGCAGAATGTTGTCTCAGGATAACAAAAAACACATTTGACTCTACTCGATCGATGTCACACAAACTTTATTCGTGGTTCTTGCCCGTTCTAATGTCTAAGTACTTCGAACGTATAGCTTAATATTTTTGCTATTTATGTAAACGCGTGATAGCGTCGAGACGAAGGTGGACAGTAGCAAGAATTTTTAAACTGGGATCAGCAGCGACGAATCTAATACCTCACAATTTATATACTGGCAGAATATTTTCTTTTTCAATTGTTTTTATTCATTCTTAAGTCTTACTTTTAATCGTATTGAAAGGCACCTATCAATAGTTAAGCGTAGATATTAGGTAATTTCACGGAACGAGTGCATACAAAGAAGGACTACGGTTTAAGATTTTGTGGCTTGTTACTGTCATCCTAGAGTAATTCATTTAGTCATCATTGTCGATACACGGAATGATAATGTAGATATAGATTCAAGTTGTTGCGTAAATGCAGTCCAAATGGATAAACTATCGTCGAACTCTGATATCTGGTTCCACTCGGATATCATACCTGGATCCACCCTTGAGATTTTGGCGGAGGTACAATGAATAGCAATAAGATTGATTTATATTGATAATTCTATTGATTTAAAAACCCACGTGGTCGTCCGATTAGTTAACGTGAATACTTTGCCGTTTTACACAATCATTGTAAAATTAATGACGAAAGAGGATCTAGAATGAAGTAATTAAACGAGAGCTAATTATTTATTTCACGAGAAGATGTCTTTGCGTGGATTTGTAAATTTTTCGGCCGCCCCCCCCCCCCC